CCTAGAGCTGAGAAGGATGGATCACTAAGTATATTATCTGTTCAGCATAAAGTTTACATGAGCCATCAATAACAATATTGTTACCACCTCAGCTCATCTTCTGTCAGACTTCTAAAGAGTACTCTCAGGAATTTTTCAGGAAAGGGCACTCTTGGGTTTGCAATGTACTGGGTGAGCACGTTCTAGAGTTCCAGGAAGAGCCTGGCAACGCAGGAACCTTCATAAATACTCTTCAGAGTACAGAAGGTTCAAGCAGAGAAATATAATTTCAAAGTGAATTTATTTCTCTGAACTGGCATGAAGGGAAAATGTTACTGGTGAACTGCCACATCTACAATCCTCAGGTGAACATTACTGAAGGTTTTGTTTATTTTAAGTGCAGCAGGAACAGCTTTAATTTCCTTATAAAGATTCTACAGCACAAGGTAACATCTCCTTTGGGAAGTGAATGCAGAAAGGACTCAAAATTTTGGCATCTTTGCAGAGATGGGTTGAATGAGTCAGTGCTTTATAACGACATGCATTAATATGCACGGCCACTTTGTTTCATCAACAAAAAGCCAAAGAACTTAAATGACTAAAGGCAGAAACAGCTTTTGTTATGCGCACACATAAGTTTTAAATTCTCTGGTAGCTCCGCAGTCCTGGAAAAGGCTACTTTTAAATAAAATTATGTGGGAAAAAATATACATAAGTACATTGTGCACTTGAAGCAAAACCATATGCATGTTTTATACTGATCAAATGTTCTGTATTACAATCTAGATCTTTCCCAGTCTGAGGCACACTTGCCCAGCACTTCCCTGACTGGTACAGAGTGTAACGAGGAGCCCGGTAAGACATTTTCTGGTGTGTTGGGCATGAAGAGCAAGAACAGATCTGCAGGAACAAGAATTTTTAAGGTAGATTCTCAACTGACCTATACCAATTGACTGGAGTTGAGGATGAAGCCATCAGAGCCTTTGCTTTCAGGCCTTTGGAGCGAAAGGAGCAACACCCATTTTATGTTCACAAACAACCTAGTTCTTAGAGACCACTACCTTGGTTCTTACCTGTTGCTTGTACCCTAGAACCTTCATTCAAATACGGTATGAAATAACTGTTTATCAGGGCATGTTAGGACAAGTGATTTTAAACACCATCAACATTGCATCAAGCAAATAAAATTAGAACTTGCTGATTTTTTAGAAGTCTCAAATAAGTCAGAAAACACTTATCTAGGTATGCTTTAACAATGCTAGAACCACTTCTTGTTCTGCTGTCACAAGTGATTAATAAAACACATGTAAACATTGCCTGGTATACTGTGGGGGGAATCACTACAAAAACCCAAAACGAACAACCCCCTAAAAAAAAGGAATAACCTAATAACCTTTTTTTATTTGAAAACAGAGCCTCACTACTTGTATAAGACGACATGTCTGAATGGCCCAGGTAAGCAAATCCCAAACCTCAACATTCTAACTGGAGCTAATACATGAAATAGGGGTCCCATGTCCTATTCAAAGTAAAAGATCGTGGAAAAAGAGTCTAGGCCTCATCTCTGCCAAAAAATGGAATCAAACTAAATATCTTGCACTTTGCTCCCTCCTTACCTTTCACATGTTGATATTCCTTTCTATCCAATATAATGCGCCATCACCCATGCTGTGTAAAATGTATCTGAGGAAACCCTGTCAGATGGATAATCCAGGCTTTACTTTCAACTCATTTTGGAGAAGTTTTATCAAAATCTGGAATTTAGATTTGCTTTCAACCGCAGCAAGATAAGCGGTTATGTTACTTCAAAAGTGAAGTTGGTTATTTTTGGTTCTGCTCCTCAGAAGACTTTTGGAACCAGTATCTGTGAGCCTATGTACCGGTTGACGCTGTTGATTTCTGTATAATCTTGTTACCACACAAAGTCATAATCATGGGGGGCAAGACGTCATGGATGATCACAGGGAGTTCAGTACAAGAACTGTACATTGAAAATCAATACACAGGGATTGATATTGGGCCCAACTCTGTTTAATATCTTCATAAGTGACCTGGGTGATGGGATCAAGTGTATCCTGATGAAGTTTGCCAATGATACCAAACTGAGTGGGGATGTTCACATTTTGGAAAGGAGACCTACCCTGCAGGAAGACCCGGATAGGCTGGAAGAGTGGGCTAACAAGAACCTTAAGAAGGTCAATAAAAACAAAAGTAAGGTCTTGCACTTGGGAAAACATAATCCAGGAGTGCAACACAGGCTCGGATCTATCCGGCTGGGAACCAGCTCTGTGGAGAAGGACCTGTGGGTCCTGGTGGACAAGCTCAATATGAGTGAACAGTGTGCTGTTGTGGCAAAGAAAGCCAGCAGGATGCTGGTTTGCATCACCAAGGGCATCACCAGCAGAGATAAAGAAGTCATTATCCCACTCTACTAAGCACTTGTCAAGCCACACCTGGAATACTGTGTTCAGTTTTGGTCCCCACTATATAAAAAAGATGTAGACAGGCTGGAGAGAGTCCAGAGAAGGGCCACCAGGATGATCAAAGCCTGGGAAGCCTGCCATATGTGGAAAGGCTGAGAGAACTGGGTTTGTTCAGCCTTGAGAAAAGAAGGCTTAGGGGTCACCTCATCACCATGTTCCAGTACTTAAAGGGTGGCTACAAAGAAGATGGAGACTCTCGTTTTACAAGGAGTCAGATTGAAAAGACAAGGGGCAATGGGTGCAAGCTACTCCTGGGGAGATTCCAGTTGGACTCTAGAGAAAAAATTTTCACAATGAGAACAGTCAGCCATCGGAATAATCTCTCCATGGAAGCGGTGGATTCCCCGACATTGAACACTTAAGATTCAGCTGGATGGGATGCTGGGTCATCTTACCTAGACTGCGCTTTTGCCAAGAAAGGTTGGACCAGATGATCCTGGAGGTCCCTTCCAGCCTGGTATTCTATGACTCTGTGAAAATCAGTGCAATAAATTTGAACTGGATTCTGCTGAAGGAGAAGGGCAGTACATAAATGGGAACACTAGGTCAGTGTTCATGAACCCTTGGGCTCTGAAAAAATCAACATGCCTTGGGACTTTCGTTTACAGATAGAATTGCAGTAGTCCAGCATGAACCCTAAAAATGCATTTATTTTTACAATTGTAAAGATTGAAGAGATAAGACAAGGGGTAATGGCTTTAAGAAGGACAGATTTAGACTAGATATAAGGAAAAAATTCTTGACTGTGAAGAAGCTGTAGCACAGGTTGCCCAGAGAAGCTGTGGCTGCCCCTGGCTCCCTGGAAGTGTTCAAGGCCAGGTTGGCTGGGGCTTTGGGCAACCTGGGCTAGTGGAAGGTGTCCCTGCCCATGGCAGGGGAGTTGGAACTAGATGGGCTTTAACGTCCCTTCCAACCCAAACCAGTCTGTGATTCTATGATTACACTGGGAACAGCTGGGAAAAAAACCTTCTTGGCCAGCTTTGGATAATGACAAACCTCTTACCAATCTCAGTAGATGCAGCAATGATTGGCTAGGATCTGTAAGCCTTTAAAGGTGACAAGTGTCAACAAAATTCTTTTTAGAGCATATTTTAGGTTCATATTACACTACCATAAAAATAAAATCAACTAAGGAAGCCACTAAAGGAACTGAAAGAAGGATTTCCATTCTTCAATACGTGCATCTCCTGCTGTCTGTGCCCCATTATAAGGTGTGATGGGAGATGCCCATCAGCTCCATAATTTTGAAATTTTTTTCTTACTATACAGAGGACTAATATTGTAGGTGGAAAATAATGGCAGACACTACACAACTAACTCACTGAAGAGGAAGTAGGTTAATAGTTACAGTGGTGAGACTGGGATTCAGATTTTCATGGTTTATTTCCTCAGCTCCCCAAAACCATGTGATCTTTAGCAAGAAACTGAACTTCTCTTCGATCACAGGGACCGAACAGGAATTCTTAAGTTTTTTCCCCAAAATATTCACATGGTTCTTCTCTTCCAGATTTCCACAACCAAGCTGCAGTTTCCAGCTCTGAAAGTTTGCATTGGCATGTCACAAGTGACTCCTGACAAACCTCCACTATGTAGAAATATAGCCTCAGGCTCTGAGAGACTAGCCAACCCTACAGGAGCAGGGCTAAATAACAAAAACCCCTACAAGAGCCAAAGATAAGAATGATCAAACAGAAGAATCTAGGAGGCAAGCATGACAAGAAAAATCAGAAACAAGCAGGCACAAGTAAGGCACAAAAATTAATAAGGATGAGAAGAGAAGATTCTTTGCATTTGAGGAATACTGAAACAGTCAAGTTTTGAGAGGAAGGGAGGGAGAAATGTAGGTCAGTTCTGTATTATTCATTTTATTTATTTGGTAAACAAGGACAATTCCACTTATTAATCTACTGAAACAATACAAGGATTAATTCCCCATCTGCACACCACTTTCAAAGCCTCACACAAAAGCACCAATGATACTTGAGTGGTTTGCTCAGTGTTCGCTGTAGTAACGGGTATACAAAGATCACCACTAGATTATTCCTGTGGATAGACACACCTTTAGTCAAAGTTACAGTTCCCACAAGGAAAAGCTTTGACCTTTTGACTCTAACACAGAAAAAACCTCAACTTCTGTAACACCTACACATGCCTGCCCACCTACGTTAAATAATGTAGGGGAGATGTCTATGCAAACTGAACTGACTGCAAATATTTCTTCTGCCCAAGATATAAAGAACGTGATCGAGATCAGAACAGGCACTGAAAACTAAGCGTATTTAATTGAAGCTGATGGGGAGGAAGAGGGAGGAAGGCTTACTTGCCAAGACAAAAACACAGATATGGCCAAGTTCCACCCTTGGACATCCCACTCACCCATTTCATGACATTGCACAAATCACTTCCTCACTTTTTGTTTCAGGGCCTGCCATCAGCAGCCATCCATGAAGAGATGATATGCCTACTATGACTCTTGCAAAACCAGCTGGAGATCTACAAATTAATTCTGTGAGGAATGCACGTGACTTAAATACTCACTGTTGGAGCTTCCAGGAGTATTGAACTGGGAAGTTTCAAGGAACTTTCGAGGTGTAGACAAGTTAGTAACATCCATGAGAGGTACAGAAGTGGCATCTTTCACAAGTGAACTGTGTGAGGGGAAAGAATTAAAGCAGTTTACCTTTATTTACAATCTTAGTTAACTAACAAATATAATTCATTCATTTCTTAAATTTGTAAGCCTAAGTGATAAACATAGATAACACACAGTTTTGATACAAGAGGTTTACAAAACCTAGCTTAAAGCACAAGTCCACAGATGAATACGAGTGGGTGTGTATATATACACATTTGAATGAAAAGGGAAAAAGGCATTTTTTGGCAATGACGAGGGAACAATGTCATATGAAAGACAAAATTTGGTTTCCCAAGGCCTCTCAGAATTTAATAGCACTCTAGACTTGTCTGACTGGTCGCCGCAACACGATCAGGACACAGGCACGTTGGAGCTCACCACAGCACATGATTATTTCCCAACAGACGCATTCACCTCCAGCACAATTAACTACTACTACTAGCATGATGATAAATTAACATGGAATTGTTAACATCTTTCTGGAAAACTATATGTTAAGGAGAAGAGATGCTCCCATTTCCATGGCTTCTGTCAACTACTTAACCCTTCAAGCTTTTTTAATTCCCACTAAAAACCTCCACCCTTTTTCCTTCCCTTCAAATTCCTGTTCTGTGCACACCTACATGCATCCCTCTCTGAATAAACCTCCTCACTCAGAAAGGAAAGACTTTCTACTTGATCATTTTCATAATAAATTCACATAGTATTATTTGCGAAAAACGTGCCATGCTTCCCCAGTTGCATAACAAAAGGCATGAAGCTGGATGTGGCAGGGGAATGCAAGCAAGAAATCATTTTTAATAGAAAAAAAGCGGAGAAGGTTTTTATAATGGAGTTCAGTATGTTCCCTTAGAGGTCAAAATGATTTCAGAAACCTGCAAAGACAAGGGTTATGCTCTGTATCCTGCCTAAGAGCCATTTATACTCCCTATACGCCTCCAACACCATACTTACAGGGATTAGCTATGCATTCCAGCTCAGCAATGTTAGAACACACATAAAAGCAATACAAGAAATAATTGCAAATATTATTGCATCCTGGTCAACAGCCAGTCTAAAGCAGCACACTAAAACAAAGTAACAAGACTGTCCTTGATGCAAGAGTTCATGTCATCAAGTATCAATGAAGTGCAACAGGGAATGTGAAAAAAAAGATAGAAAACAAGAAAAAGATAAGGGTCTCTGTAGCAGTCATACAAAACTGCAGTTAATTAGCAGTCGCATAGTCTGGGTGCAGCAAAGCTTTGTGTCTGTTTTTAATTAAGAAGATGAGTAAGGAAGAGACTGATGACTTGCTAGCAACCCTCCTTCCTAGAAATTTCAACTTCAATCAATCTTTTATTTCATAAATTCAGTCAATGTAACTTACTATCTCTCCTCTTATTTTTGGTAGGCATGTTTTATTCCTTCTCATAATAAAATGCTAATTTATCTTTTCTCTGCATCTTTATCATATGCTGGCTCCTCTTTTGCTCCCTGCCTGTGTTTATTACCTCTCCTACTCTACAAAAGTTCTTCCAATACTGTATCTCTCTTTTCTAGCCATTATCTTTCTTCCTTCTCTCCCAACAACTCTATTGCCCTCAAACTTAGAATTCACAATATTGTAACCTGCAGCCAGTAACCTTATGGTTAGCTGGAAGTCTTTTAAACCTTGGACCTTTGATAGAAAAGATGAGCAATTTTTCCCTGTGTTCTTCCCTTTGCCTGACCTGAGCCTCATAATCATGACATTTGTAGGACAGGTATATGCATCAGAGAGGAAAAGAATGCTAAACAGAACTGACCTCATCATAATTCTGTGGGAAGGGGGGGGGGGGGAACAAACCCCACAACCCCAAAAAACACAGAATCGCTAAGCAAAAGTGAAAGAATGAGAACAGACTGTTCACAGGCTCAAAGGTGCATCAACATATTTGGAGTTTTTCTGCTCTCCACAGCCACAAGCATGAGAAATTCACTTGCCAGAAATGAAAGGTCGAGGTGTAAGTTGATGGCACTCTCCCAAGAAAGTTTCTACTTGGGAAATTACTGCCCTCTTCCCTCCCAGACCTCCTGCCCTCAGTTAGTATCACATCAAACCCACCTTATTCTCCCTTTCTCCTTGTTGCGTTGTCCTACTCTATTAGTCGATTTGATGTAAAGATGACGGTGTAATTCATCTATAAGGACTAAGTGCATGTTCATCTTCTTACTGTGGAGCTCCAGTCTCAGATCACTCAATCCCTCCACCTGAAGAAGGGGACCCTCCAAGGAGTCCACTGCTGACACCTGGAAGGGGAACACATGTGGCAATATTTACTGGTCAATTCATTCATCTCTCAGGACTTTTCTCTTTGATTAAGGGAGTGTCCGAATACCATGACAACTCTACCCACAAACCCTATTAAAGCAAAAACCATTTAAGTAGTATTCCTTTATTTCTATTCCTAAAGGAAAATTCAATACATAAAAAGGGTCCAATTCTCGAATAACTCAGATTTAATGAGCACCCTTCAAATATTTTGAGCATATGTATAAGCCAAGGTAGTTAAAACACAGTTCATTAAACAAAAATCAAAGCACAGTTTATCACAAAATAAGAGGATTATCAAGTAGAAAAGTGTTAGAAAAAGATACTGACAATGATGTTTGATTGTCTTTATTCTTTTCATTACAGAAACACCAACAAAGCATTATTCCCAATTCTGTAAATGGGAGAAAATGGCTTAAATTTTATTTGTCTAAAGTGATGTCATGACATAGCTGAAAAAGCTTAGGAAGCCTCATCTTCTAGCCTCTGTAGCTGCGATGTCATGTAACTACACCATTTAAATGAATGTCGCCATCAGACTAATGAAAGCTATTGCTAATTCAAAGGTACTTTTGAACTCTAAAGTGTGTGGGGCTTTTTTAATGTTCAACTATCAAGGCTCAAATTAAGGAAAATAACTTTATACAAGCAACAGAGTAACAGACAGGGATCTAGACACGCAGTAATGTAAACAGGCCATAGGTAACGCTTCTCTGCTGATGCGCTTCAATAGTGACCAGCTGACAGCCAGCGGGCACTAGACTGAGGAACCTGATGTCCATTTATATCCTAAAGGCAAACGTTGACAAAAACCACCAGGAATGACAAATCAGTGCATAAAAGCAACACTATTAATTTGCATCTCTCCCAGTTTATTTGTTTTTCTAACTATTTAACAGAACACTTCAACAGTTACTAAAAAAAAAAGGCATCCTTCTGCAGTGTCCAAAATCTCAGTGCTGCTGTTTCAAGAAACTAGAAATAGCATAGCATGCTTTGCATAGAAAGAAGCATAGATTTAAAATTGGTGGGGGAAAAAAGCATTCCCTAGTAACTGAAGATACTATTAGTGAAATAAGACATTTACTTGCACTTCAGCATTTACGTTTATAGTGAACCTGTCAGCTAAACATTAAAAATGAAAAGCAAAGAGATACAGTAAGCAGACAGCCAAGCTAAGGTCTAGTCCCTTAATACCAGTAAATATTAAATATACTGAAAGAACATCTATCAACAATGTATTACTTTGCTTGCCTCCAAGTCAAGAATGACCCTGAAATAGCTTTGGAGCAGTCAGGCTTTTTAAATTAAGAGCAGTTTCAAAAAGGAAGCTGCACTTTTTTTCCTTCCTCCTGAAATTTTTTTGCCAGGAAGTCTCTAACTGTGAAATTCCCTTCTCTGCATGGATGATGAGAGCATGCACTTGCTGCCGGTCTTTAGGCTAGAGCTCAGTCTTGAGAAAGAATTTGTGTCACAGTATTAATCACAGAGGACTGAACAGGCTCCTCCTAAGCCCACCAACACCGCCACTTCACCAGCACTTAGGGGTTCCAATCACTTGACACAAAGCACTCCCCATCCTCTTTCTTCCCAGTACCTATTTGTGAACAGTTACGGACTTTTGGCCATAACACATCACAAAACCACACCACAGATGAAGCAAAAAACCAAATTTGCTTCTCCCCAAAGAGCTGACATACCAGAGTACATACAAATAGAGAAGGCTCAGCAGGCACACAGACACAGCTTGGAAACCTTTGGCAGAAGTCTAAGTGCTAAATATTATCTTCTTCCTTTGGCAGGTAGAGACGGACCCCAAACTTCCCAATTCCAAAGGCGCTTTAACCCCCCCAGTCGCTTCAGGGGAGTTGCAGGCATTCATCGCTGCCCTGAAAGCTGTCAGCAATTTCACCAAAAGCAAGAACAAGATCAGGAACAACATTTGTCAAACTGAGAAGCTGAGAGATGAAAATGCAGCGAGGGAAGAACTGAAAGCAAGCAGGAAAATGACATTAAAAAGGTTCCAAGACATTGAGGAAAAGTATTATCTAAAACACAAGCAACAAAAATGTAAAGCTTTCCACTCAGATCATTCAGCTCTATTTTTATCTTCCCAGTTCCTAAAGAGTTAGTTATTCTCAAAACTAATTATTAAGACCAACATACAGCTCTCAAACACATCTTTTAAGAAACAAATGGAACAGTCAATCATTTATTGTACTTAAAAAAAAAACCCAACAAAACCAAAAATCTCTCGTTGTTATGTACTGAATTTTCTTCTTCTGGAAAAAGCTGCCTTCATATTTGCAGTTAGACAAGCTGGAAGTCATGTCTTTGATAAATGCCACTTTCTCAGTGATTGAACTCTACAGGTAAATAACAGGCAAGTTTCTACATTACGCACACTCAGAGTCTTTTAATTCAAGGCAGCCCCGCTCCAGGAAAGCCTCACTTAACCGCTCATTTCTTTTCCAATATTTCATTTCCCATTATCACCAATTATCAAGACAGAGAGCAAGAGAAAAGCTTTAATGTTCAGAACAGTTTGGGTCTCGAAAATAACTACAGGCTCAATCCAAGTTCATGGAAGTCAAGGTAAGGTCTCCAACTGGTTTACGTGCCAAGAAGTATAAACATTATTTAAAAAAAAAAAAAAAAACCAAAAACAACAAAACCCAAACATTTTTCCCTTCTGTAGTTTTACTTACAGAAAGATGATTTAAGTCCTGGCAACAAGTAAGCTATAAAGCAGCACCCCAGATTATATTTCAGAATAATATGAGATGAAAACCTTTATCTAATTAGTATGCTTGATAACCTACCAGAGAATGGTAGCATAAGCAACTACAATCGTGCAAAGAAGTCTACAAAGAATATACAAAATTAAAAATACACTACAGATAGATCTACAATGGAACTGTTACAAGAAAAACCTTGACAAGCTTGTGTTTCACCCTAAAGATCAGTTCTCTAAAACTGAGTTTCAGCAAATAACTACACTGTCATCATAAAGGCTTTGTCCTCCAGAAGGATGGAAAAGAAAGGGAAGCAGAAAGTGAATAGGAAGAGTAGTAATAATGACAACAGCCCTGTTGTCTACCTGGAAACACAAGAAGGAGTAGTTTACAACTGGCTTTATTTAAAGTCCATGTATCCATCTGGGCCACGTTAACAGCATGGTCAAGTATCTTGAGAATCAGTGGGGTTACAAAGGGACTTGGGAAGATCACCATGGTGGGTCGCTGAGAGCACAGCCAATGCCATGTGTAGCCAAGAAAAATAAGAGCACGACTGGAAAGAAATATGACTTTTTGCATTGAATTCATAACGGGGACTACGTCTATCATTGGCAAAGTTTAGATCAAGACCAGAATTTTATGCCTCCACTCAGCTAGTAACGCACCATCACTTGTATTATGCAAGACACCCAAATATATCATAAAAATATTTTCCGCTTTGAAGATCAGAGATATTTGTTTACCATTGTGTCATCAACTCATCACTCAACTTGGACACATCATTTCAACTAGCTGTTCTTAACCTTTTCTCATTTCAAATCCTGATAGGCAAAAGGAGATAGATGAGTGGGAGGCAGGTCACACAAAGCAGTAACAGGTCAGAGTACAACATAAATACTGCTCTGCAAAAAAAGTATTGCTGCTCCTCAACTTAGTAGTGACTCCTCCAGCTAGAGAACCTTAATTTAGGAGAAACCCCCTTATTTTTGGATTTCTATTTTTTTATTGCGGATGCTGCTCCTCTGCTTACAGTACAAAGAACAAATCAAGAAAAAGGTGCATTCTAGAAAGAAACCTAAGCGTTGGGGGTTGCATGCATTTATATTGCTAGCACTATTACTAAACACAAAGAGGTTTTCACATTTTAAAAGCCAACTGTCTCCCTCCCTCTTGAATACTAAACTTAAAAAAAAGGAGATTTTATATTTAAATTGTATCTATTATTTTTCCAGTTATTTATTACAAAGTTATGTGGAGTCCTCAGACAGACTGAAGCCCTTCAGTTCTAATTATTTGTATCACTTCCTAGAATTTTAATTTTATTACTTTAAGAACAATTAAGAATAGAAAAATCTTACAAGCTACAACATTTCCACATCGTTTTTAGTATTTTCAGTACATTATAGCAAGCTTTGGATTTATTTTTTTCACTTCACCAGCAGTGTTTTGAAGACTCACTTCAAAAGAAACAGTGCTGGGAAATTAAACAACTCTACATTTAGAGAAGTAGTATAAACCATCCTTTTGTCCATCGCTAGAGTGACCCAGCTTCTCTGGCTGCTATTTTCTACCACATTCATGTCTGCTTTACAGAGCTTGTTGGTCATTAAAATTGAAAGGCACTGGAGCCGTCTTATACGGCACCTGCCATTATGGATAGAGGTGAAGCCAAAGGCTATCCACGTCTACCAAAGAGCGACCTCAAGCACACAACTGCACAATCCCCAAACACTAGGGTGAGAAATAATTGTAGTAGCTCAGAAGCACACTGTGGTCACCAAGTAAACGCTGACGTATAAAGGCAGCAAGCACAGATTTCAACATCTTCTGGCAGAAGTAGTCAAATTCTGGAAATTAGGAATCCGCATGCATATTGTAGCTAGAATAACATACTGATCCAGCTTGCAAGGGACCTCCAGAGATTTCCAGTCCAACCCTCTGCTGAAAGCAGGACTAACTTCAACATTAGACCAGGCTGCCCAGAGTCCCCAGTCAAGGTCTGAAAATCCGTAAGCACGGAGATTTGCCATCTCTCTGGGCTCATGCTCCTGGGTGTTTAACCCCTCTCATGAGGAACAATTTTCTCCTTATATCCAGCCAGTTTCTCCTACAGAAACTGGTGACGGTTGTCTCTTGTTTGTGCACTTCTAAGAGAAACCTGGCTATATTTTTCCTCTAGCTCTTTTAGATGGTCACATACAGCAAAAAACCACTCTTTTCTGGAGGCTGAACAAACCAAA